CAGCCTGTAAATGAAACTGCTCTTTTACAAGGTAGTGAATCGGTGTGTATACCTGTACTGGCGAGGGACATCCGTCTGTATTTTTCCTTGGTAGGGGTGCCCTCATTGGCTCCGGCTGTAGCAATAGCGAAGGCGGAGGCAGCAGACAGGGCACTGCGGTTGTTGTCAAGCTCTCGACACGAGGACATCACCATGCCATTGTTGTAGGAAAACAGGGAAAACTCTACAGACAAGCATAGTTTAAAAAAATAGAATATATATTACTGTGTCATGAAAACTGAATGGTTGGTTATAACATTCCACATTGTACATGACTCAAAATTTTACCAAAAAGCTGCTGGTAAAATGTGTACCGCTCAGTATCTGCAGACCGACCTGCATTTCCTTGCACAAGCCTCCACTAGGGAGCACTACAGGCCAACACAACGGTTTCCCTCCAGACTTTCCTTTACAAGAGGCTTTGATATTCAAGATGGTTGCAGCTAAATATAGCCACCAAATATCAGCATAACAGAGGAATCAACAGATTCTCTGCACTCTGCTATGTTTAAATCCTGGGAACATAGACAGATCATAAGCAGCTAAGAATCCTACACACTGCTTCACGATTTCAGTTAATTCACATATTCGAGAGCAGGCTTTGCTTTCAAAATCTATTGTGCAATTTTGTCATGAGATTTAGAAGGCACAGATAATCTTGGCTCCAGTGAAACAGCCTCATTACTGGGGGCGGCAGGGAAAACACGCTCTTGATGTAGTTGCTATGACACAAGTTTCCCTAACACCCACTGAAGCCAAGCTTTGGCTTTCCCCACATGTTCATAGGAATCGACCAAATGATATTTTATGTTTCTTATGCTTCTCAGTGGCATGTTTTTCTTCCATACACAGCGATTAATCTGCCATCTCTGCCACTAACAGACAGTAAAAACATTCCCAGTTGCAGACTCAAGAATATTGTGAGCTGCAGGCTTTGTTTTTATTATGTGGTCTGGTTCTGTGATTAAAGAAAGTAGTGCAAAGGGCAGCGCAGTGAGGCACTGTCATACGCGTTCGATGCATCTGGCATGTCAGTGTGCAGTTTACAAGCTTGGATTTGCATTTGTGTCGTTCTGTAAGTCTAGGACATAATGTACCTGAGGAGTTTTTGCATTTGATGTTTTTTGGTGTGGTTGGAGATTTGGTGGGAGACGCTTCTGGGTCCCCATCATCACTCTGGTTTTGATCATTGTCACTTTCTTCTCGTACGGAGAGATCTGTATCATGACAAGCGGCGAGGTCAGTAAAAACAACATTCCAGCAAAGTTGGAAGAATTCATTTTGAAACGGTTGCAGCTGACCTACCTTGTTTACACGCTGAGGTATCCTCCACCTTGTCCTTCTTGTCCTCTCCCTCGTCAGAGATTTTGCTCGTGATCGGGCTGGACACGTACAGTTTGTTGATGTCCAAGGTGGTCTTGCTGAATGGGGACATGGAGGAGTACATGCTTGCATAGCCATTTGAGGAGCAGCTGAGGGCAGCCAGGTCAAGAGCTTTGCCCCCAGTGATGATGGGGATGTTGAGAGACAGCTTGCGCCGGCGGTTGGGGGATGAGTTCTTGGCAATAGCGAGAGGAGGAGGGGAGGAGAACTTTCTGCTCGCCCTGGGGGAGCTGGGAGGCTCTCCATATAGGAGTTTGCTGTTCTGGCTGCTGGCAAAGAATAACTCCAGGGACCTGCATCAAGGGCGGATACATACATTTGATTTTAGGACATAGGAATGTGTTTCTTTGATATGTGGCAAGCATACTCTGTGCTTCAAGAGCTTAGCTTAACAAACAACACCTCCTAAATAATTTATGCAAACCAGCCCAGCAACCAGAAGTCTCTTCGCAACCATGTCTCGATGTTTTAGAGCAGGATACAGGCTGCAGTGTTTCAGAAAACCTCTCCCACTCCCTGCCACCCTCCTGGCGACCTCACGGGTTCCCATAAATAGCACAGCGAGTGATAGTGCGCATGGCCACTGCTGACACAAGCAGCCAAGTGTAGGTGTCTCACAGTGACATGACAAGCGACACGGGAGAGCATACTGCAGAGCGTGGACGCGGAGAGCTCCCCCTGATCTGAACCCCACACTGGGGCCCTCGCTCTAGGCATGCGGAGCGGCACGTTAGCCCCCAATGCAACACTCCGTCAATATTTCACACTATGGATCTTTTGCAGACAAGGAGGAAGAAAAGGAGGGGAGGGTGGGGTCCTGCAGCACTGAGGTTGGTTGCCATAGAGCGATGGAGCCCAGTTGAGACACTCCCAGGCAAACAGGAGGGACCGGACCCAATTACTGCCTCCAACCAGTGAACACACACACACACACAAACACACACAAACACACAGTGATACAGAAGCACCATCAAACATGTCTTCCTGCACGGCTTCATCTTTCTGCTTCTCTGTGCTCGCAGTAACCAACAAAACAAACTCCCTAAATACACACACACAAAGCTTAGAAGATCAAATGTGAACTGTTGACTTCACATACAGTATCTGGACACTAATTCTCTGTGACAAAATATAGACTTGTGGTTGACCCTCTTCATGTCCATCCTCTGATTCAAAGTCAAATTTAAATTTGCATCGACAGTAATTGTGTTTCTGTGTTGTCAAGTAGGATTTAAAATTAAGGAAGGACTTGCAAGAAACAGGTTACACAACAAACACTGCAAACCACTAGTTCCATCATGAGACCATTTTTAAATGTATACTTCTTAAAGACTCCTTTAATATTTGCTTAATCATAAGACTTCACAGGTGCAGTGTTGAGGGAAAAAAATGCATCAAATTGTTTATGTATTTGGTTGTGTTTTCTGTATATGCAGCATTTTTTATTTTTTTCTAAATGCAAAGACGTTTTCATTAATTGCTTTTGTATATTTGCAGTGAGCTCTCAGGGCTACCACAGATTCCTCAGTCCAGTTTCATAAGTTTGCGTGTGTATAAACAGAAAAAACGTATATAGTTATTATATTTAGAGTCATCTGTGTAAAAGCATGGAATAAACAATTTATATGGTTGCAGTTAAACCTAAAAGTTCAAACCGCAAGCATCTTGGCTCCGGCATATGCCTTGAAATTGATTAGAGGATGACAAAGCTTCACATCCTAATAAATCAATCTCATCTTTATGCAGTATGGCAAGGTCTGGAGGAATGCCAGACACTTCAAATAAGATTTGTTTGTCTATTGGAAGTGCTGTCAACAACCTTGCAACATCCGAGTCTGTCCAAATGCAATGTGACTCACCGAGCAGGGATGGCACTGATGGGCTTCTTGTAGATGGTGATGAGTTTATCCAGCACCACATCGGCGGTGGTGAACACGCGATAGGAGTGCAGGAAGGTGTTGAGGAAGTCGATTGAAAGGAAACGGAGATCGGTCAGTCTCTCCAGCAGGCGCTCGACGCTGGCGTAGCGGATCTGCAGCACCTTGCAGGAGTTCATCATCTTACTGAAGCGAATGTCCACATCGTCGCAGTACAGGCTCGAATCTGACCTGTTGACAGAAAAGACAAAAATCAGAAAAAAAAAAAAACAGATAAAAAGGAGAAGAAGCTGCACAAAGCATGACAACAAAGCTTACTTGATCATCTGCGGTACTGTGACTTTGGAGTTGTCTTCAAAGGCGTTCATCATCAGGCCATTGCAGCGGATGTTGTCGATGCACTGCAGGACACATGCGGTTGAAGTAAACAGACAGGACAGAGGAAATGTTAGCGAGTTCTGTAACGCGCGGGCTTTCGGCCCGACATCCTCGGCTTCTTGTCTGTCTGCTTGGAGACTGTGATGTGTGTTGACGTGCCTGGCTGATGTCACTGGTCCATGCAGACTTCTCCTGCCTTGAGGAGGCCACCAGGATGACGGTGAATGACTGGCTGTCCTTTGGCTCCACGACAATCTTGAAGTCCAGGTGCTCCATGTCCTGGCCGCTCTTGTCTGATTTGGCTGTTGGGCAAACACAAGGACTAGATGTCATTTTCTCTCTAGACATAGGCAAATATACCGTAAACACAGCCAACAAATACAGATTCTAAAGTGGCACCGTATCAAATGGTATCTGGGCAATAACTCTATTAGTGTCATCGTTCTTTAATAAAAAAATGCATTTTAGAGTCTCTTTCTGATGGTTCTACTGTCCTTTAAAACACTATTTTTCCAGTTGTTTCAAATACGGATTATACAATATTAATGCATTCAAACACATTCCAGGAATCATACATTATATAAACCATAATAAATAGTACATATGATGCATTTTTCTGTGAGCTGGGATGTATATTAAACACTCACACTCGTCATCTGTCCCCTCAGGGTCCTCCATAAGAGTGCAGTCTATAAGTGACACTACTCCATTCTGCAAACAGCACACAATATACATTTAGTTTCTCTACGCCGCATTCGACTCAACATCGTGTAAGATTGCATAACACACTGTACATTTACACAACAAAGTATTGTGAAAAAAAGGCTCAGCAGCAGCTTTACTTCTTATAAGGAAAAAAATTCATTTGGAGTGTAATAAGAATTCAGGGCACAGATTATAACTGTTAATAAAACTTTTAACCCTACGAACCACCAAACCTGCTCGGAAAACCTACGGTCCAAAACTGCACCATTTATTAGAGGCACAAGCTGTAAAAGCTGAGAATTTTCTGATGGTTCTTGAACTACTCATCTGTGATGTGCTGTTCTGTCGGGTAAATTAACATAATCTACATTTAAAATTTAGGTATTTCATCATTTTATTTTATTCGTCTTATTTCAAATTGTGGCAAACACAAACAATTTGTCCAAATCAGAATAGGTAAAAAACTAAAAATTCTGTGCTCCTCGTTGCAACTAGACGCCGCTACTGACTCAGCTGTGAGCAACAGTGATATGACAAAAAATCAGAATTTGCAACTATACTGCAGGATGTGTTCATACAGAGCAAATAGGAGAGTAGTAGGGAAGCCAATAAAAATGTAATTAGTAAAGTATCTGTAATATGCAGAGTCACAATTTTTTTAGTGGTGCTCGTGGGGATTTGGAAAAATGTTTAATCCAGGTTTTTAAAAATACTTTTCATGATTTCTAGCATTGTATTTGTGTTATTCTACACAGACAACATTTGTGCGTTCTCTCTACTTCTAGCCGTGGTTGTACTGTTTCCACAGAGGTGCAGAACTTTATATTGTGATGAAAAATGAGCCCACAGTAAGTAAAAATGTGACAGGAGCAGAAAACGCCCAGAAACCGCTCTGGGCTTCAGAGGGTCAAACCATTTCACATGAAGGTTTTACTGTAGCTATGCAAGGCCTTCATTTAAAAGCTTATCTTAATTCCTAAACATCAATCACTCTCTGTGTTATTGAGCAACGTGGAGTAATAGTGCACAACTGCTCCATTACACAAATCAAAGTGACATCAATGTTAATGAGCTGATGTGTGCAGGCTTGTACGATCGCACGTAGCTCCGACGGCCACTGACAAAAGCTACGACATCTCTAATCCTGACTCTTTCATCTGATGTCGCCTAATTTGTTCGGTTTAGCTCGGGCGTTCGGGGGTTTATTTGCGATGCTGTAGGACTGTGACGTCGGAAACGAGGAGCAGCTCCACTGCCGGCTCAGCAGCTCGAGGCCCACCTTGGTGAGATGAAGCTTCCCCCCAGAACCTCTGGTGCAGATGATTAAATGCTTGGAGAAGAGAAAGCACTGCCTCTCCCCCTCCTTCTTCAGAGACAGAGAGCCCAGTCGCCCACGGGTGATCTTGCCCTTCTCGCTCATCGGCACCTGGATGAGAGACCCTGCATGTAGGAATAAAAGAGAGTGGCGAGGAGAAGGAAGAGGGACAAGGGGTAAGAAAAAAAAGAGCAAGGCGTCAGCAGAGAAACTGCTATAAATAAATGAAGTGCTTGTCTTGCCTTTGATTAGATATGAATACGTAGCCAGTCACATGTGATACTAAATAAGCTACCATTGCTGTTTTCCTCATCCATCAAGGCCTGTTGGGGACATTTGACATTTACAGTCCCAGATTCATCATCAGTTTGCCTCAGAACAGTCTAATTACACTTGGAAATGAAAGACTCTGCATCTTCTTCCCCAGAGAGAGAGAGGGACAGGGTCTTTTTTTAAACTCATCTCCCAGTACAGTGGTGAAGATGCGGCATCAGGCTGTCAGACATGTGGCGGAACAGGACAATCCCTCTCTGTTGTGATTCTGCTGTCCGCTGGGATCTAAAGCACAACACTTAAAGGTGGGAGTTACCTTGTCTTACAAAGGTCTGACTGGTGTCAAGGAGAATCTCGCAGCCCTCTACGATCATGCGCTCTATCGCCAAGTTCTTCCTGATGTTCTCGGTCTCGCTCACTTCATCGTGCATTATTCTGAGGAAAGGGACATTTCAGCATTTTCATTCGGTCCTGATATATGAAACACAACAAGACTTAAGCTTCACAAGAAGAAAAGAATAATTCAGAGAGTGTATTGCTTTGGGTTTGACCTATCTGGCCACATATAGGCTGTGCTATCTCACTGATCAAACAAAAATAAAGAATTAATTTTGATCTATATAAATGCACACTGTTAAAAAAAAATAAAATAAATAAAAATAAAAAAATACTTTAAAAACAGTAGAATATTGTAACATTCAAAACCTGTAAAAATTGTGGCAAATATCTGTAAAAAAAAGGATTTTTTGTTGAGTCATTATGCAGTTTTTTTCTGCTGTTTTACATTCAACATATTCAGTTTTGTGCTCTAATTTTACTTGATATTATCTCTAACATCAGAAATGTGTAAAATAAAAGTTTAAAAAAAGCTTTACAACTTTTCATTACCTAATAAACATAATATTCCTTTCAAATAACAGAATAATATCTGTAGGATATTGTTATTTTTTGCTGATTTAAATACAGTTACAACCCTATAAATTTACCTTCAAACATTATAAAGAACAAACTACAGCTTCTACAGATTATTTATGTGGCCGTTATTTACAGTTCTAGTCTGTTTTTTATTTAAATTTTTAGGGTTAACATGTATAAAAATACTTCTGTAATTTTACTAAATATTATCTGTAATTTAAAACCTATAAATTAACAGCAAATAGTTTTTTTTTTTTTTTTTAATGAATAAAAAATAACCTCTTAACTTGTTTTTACAGAGTATATAAATGCAGGAAATGGAAAACCTGGCTTCAATGTGTCTCCCACATCTAAAACCAAACCTTGATTGTATCATGTAAAGCAGGGGTGTCCAGTCCTGGTCCTCGAGGGCCACAATCCTGCATGTTTTAGATGTTTCCTTCTTCCAGCACACCTGATTCAAATGATCAGGATCGTTATCAGGCTTCTGCTGAGCTAGTGATGAGCTGATCATTTGAATCAGGTGTGTTGGAAGAGGGAAACATCTAAAACATGCAGGATTGTGGCCCTCGAGGACCAGGATTGGACAACCCTGATGTAAAGTAATATTCTGCTCATTTGAGACACTATGCATGTCCTGGTGTTGACAAATAGGTATACCTGGAAAGCTCCTCCAGCTTCGATTTGGCGTAGTCCAGACTGTTTCTCTCCACATGTTCATGGGGTGTGTGGGCCAGAAGTTCATGGAGAGTAAGGATGTAGCGGGGAATCTAGAGAGACACAACACAAAGTCATTTATAAGACCTTACGTGCCACTGAAAATGCGCACAAGGACATCGCAAACATACAAACACAGGAAGACACACGTGCCAGCATAATGAGAAGTCGATCAGTGGAGAGCACAATCTACACTCATCAGCAAAATTTAGTATCAACGCAGCACAGCCTGCAGTCGGCCCCAGCAGAGCAGACTGTCGGGAAACTGCGTGCCTTGCCAGAAAGGAGCCGTTATTAAAGCCCGAGCTCTGAAAACAACCACTTTTTATAGACATGAAAAACACCAACAAGGATATTCTGAGCAACAAATGCCTGCTGTTTCTTATGTAAATCAGTGATGCTACAATATGGGTGTTTGAAGCCAAGTTCTGACTGAGCCACACTGGCCAGAATACAGGCCAGACAACATTCATGAAAATGAATGCTTTGGTTAATGTGTAAATCAGTCAAATTTGGTTATGCGGGTTTTTATTTAATCCTACAGTCGCTTCAGAAAGTTTTCAAACCAATTATTTCTTATTGGCACACACACAGAGGGGATGGCAGGTTAACAAGAGGGATGCATTTTGGTCATTTTGCTAACAAGGGGGATGACATCTCCGCTCATCCTACTCAAAGTGTACAATATTTGCACACTTTACAGTATTACTGAACATTATCCCCCCATAAAGAAAAGATGAGGATGCAGTTATTTTAACAGATGTT